GCCTATGTGAACCTTCAAAAACTGAACCAGGTACATGCAAGATCACCATGCCCCCTAAAATCTTGGTTTTAATTGTATTGCGCACAATAAACAACAAATAGGTACCATGTTGGCTGGATTTTGGTGGTGCAGTAGTTTTGCTGGGTTTTTTCATGTAAATTAGCAAGGATGTTTAATGCACTACTTCGTCGATTCGGGATTGCGAGCTGCTATATGTCGTTGTAACACTTGGTCGGAGAATCCTGGACGACGCTAACTTCGTGAGGGTGCGGAACGTGATCCTAGCATGTAGCACAAGTCAATGATCAATAAGGATATGCATGATGACCATATGAGATTGTAGTTTAACCTCTCATATACTCTTGGACTACTTATGTCGAAATTGTATTTCAGTTGATTAAAACTGGGGCCGTCATGCATACTAATCAAGGCTTTCATTATTGTAAGGTGGTGTTCCGTAGCCTTTCTTTACAATGGTAATCACCGTGAAGTACTACTCCTGGACAAGTTATTGTAATGACATTTAGTTTCAATGGAGCTCTAGTTTCAATGTTTAGTGAACCGCTATATCATGTAACCTTAAAGCTTGACCCCACAAGTTAGAGCCCTGGCGCTGCCAATGCTACGCATAACGCATGAACAACTTCTCGTTGATCTCTTTGGGCATCTATAACAACTCCTTGTGCAATAGTCCCTGCAAGTTAATTTATTCATGGTTTGGTTGGAATATTTGTACATTTGGACCATACGTTGTGTTTGAAGTTGAATATAAATTTCACAGATTACATATTTGAAATGCTATTTACTTATACGTGGTAGAAGGGATTGTCTATTGCTGAGAATTAGTAAACTCTCAGTCGACCTATTATTTGTTCAATCAGCAATTAATCCCCGCTTCGTTCTTCCCTTGTCTCTCATATGATTCGAGCGTGCACGCTGATTGTGGTTTACGTGTGCGTGCCTTTTAACTAGGCTTGTTGTTTTCCTTGGTCCATAAATTGCCACATGATCAGCTTGTTTGTAACAGGCTTTAATTACTAAGTCCGTCCATAAAAAGCAGAATATGATGAAAAGTATAGATTAATCGGGAGATAAAAACACATAGCAAATTCAGTCATATTTTGAAAACCAGCAATTGCACACTCTTAAAATAGTGAACCGGACTTTATTAAGAGTGCAATTAAATGATCGGGAGGAGAAAAAAAATATCAAACAAAGTTACACTTTTCTTAAAATGATAGTTGCACACTTAAAAGAATTAATTATTGTTTGTAAAAAAACTACAGTTCATGTATAATCATGCCAGAAAACAAACACATACACAACAACACAATTGTACTTTTCTATAAATGATAGTTGAACATTTATGAAATTTTCATTGAGGTACAATCGAGCAATTAAAAGACATACATAGCAGGCTAATTGCACTTTTCATAAAATGGTACTTGCACTTTTTCTTTAAAGTGCAAATGCTGAATAATTAGGCGAGGAAATATACACATAACAATCTAGTTGCACTTTTTTTAAATGGTAGTTGCAAATTTACGGAAAAAGGTGCAACAACATTTAAAAAAAGTGCAGCTGAATATAATCAGGCTAGAAAAACACAAGCAACCTTGTTGAACTTATCAGATATATGGTAACTGTAGATTTGTCAAAAAGTGCAAGTACTATTTATTAAGAAAAACATGATGGCCCCGATAGCCAACGACAAAACTGACAGAAAACAAGTACATATATCACAACAAACAACGCACGAGGAGAAAAATATTTGATGATTTTCGGATGCACAGAAACTTCATAAAATGAAGTCGTGGAGCTTCATTGCTTTTGACATGGATGAGTAAGAAATCGGAATGTAGTCATACAGGGTCGGATTTAAGACTATAGAAGCGGGTGCAAAAAAATCCGCACCCCTCGATATTCCTAGAGAATCCAATCGGTAAAAGTGTACTAAGTTACACAGGTACAAGATACACACCACACCAAAACCTGCAGCAGAAAAAGAGGAAGGAAAGGAAACAGACATGCCCAAATACACAACAAGAAAAACTAGAAAAAAACTAATGCCCATACGTGTGGCATCTTACACATCGCTCACACGCCTCCTTTACCACTCATTTTGCCACATATGAACATATGACATCAGCAGGAATCTTTTTGGTTTTCGGCTTAAAAATGTTTTATCTCTTAATTAAAAAATCGAATTAAAAATCCTTTTTCACCATTGAATCCGTCTCCACGAGATCTTCAAAACTAGATCTCATGTTGATATGTTTCGAAGATTTTTTTTTGCACAAAAGTTGCCATGATGTTTACACTGTAGTTGTCATAGTGCTTAAACTAAAGTTGCCATGTGGCAATTTCAGTTTGTAGAGCATGGCAATTTTAGTATTTTGATGATGGCAACTCCAGTACTTTGATCATGAAAAATATTTTTTGTATGAACCATGGCAATTTTAAGTGCATGTATCATGGCAATTTTAGTTTATGGTTCATGGCAAGTCTAGTTTCTTAATTCTCCGTTTTATAAATATCAAAAATTACTTTTAAATGTAGAAGAAAATAGGTGAAACATATCATGGCAACTTCAGTGTAAACACCATGGCAATTCATGTGCAATAGACATGGCAACTTTTAACCCCCCCAAAATTCTTCGAAATATATTGATATGAGATCTAGTTTCGAAGATCTCGCTGCAAGGGATTTAATGGTGAAAACGAATCTTCAATCGGATTTTTCATTTAAGAGATAAAACATTTTAAAAACTGAAAATCCAAAAAGATTCTCACATGCATGCATGTGATGACATGGCGCAATCTGTGTGTTATAGGGCGTGTGGACGGATTTCGCACCCACCACACGTGTGGACGTTAGCTTTGTCAAAAACTAAGGGACCTGACCTCTGTGACTGGGCGACACTACGCGTCAGCCGGCGGATAATGAAAAAAGATCCGCCGCCGCTCTGACCACTAGATGTATACGTTAACGGTCGTCCGATCTACCCAAGTAAATAGCTCGCCCTTTGCAACAAGAGTGGTGTTGCAAAAAACCCTCTGCAACAGCCTGCTTGTTGCAATCATCCAAGCGTGTATTTTTTTTATTTTTTACAACAAAGATCTTGTTGTAGATTTTTTTCGCAACAGAGATCTTGTTGCGGAAATTCAAAAGATCACAGGATTCTACACCTTTTTTTTTGCAACAGAGATTTTATTGCAACAAAATTATTGTTGCAAAAAAATTAAAGATCGATTGCAGAATCTTTTGCAACAGGGGTCATATTTTAGATTTTTTTTTCGCAACAAAATTCATGTTGCAGAACTCTATTTTTGCAAACAGATACCGTAGCATGAAGGAGATAGTGCCGGCGGCGAGAGGAGCTTGAGGTGTTGGCGGCCATGGCCGGCCAAGGTCGGGCTTCCATTGGCGTCGAATGGCAGTCGCTCGTGTGGTGGTGCCGCGACAGATCACGACTACTGCCATCTCTGGTCGTGGTGGTGGTTCCGTCGCTCACCACCATTTCTCACGACTGGGGGTTGGACTTGGAAGTCCGTCGGCGCTTGCGAACAACATGGTGGTTTGCGTAGATGGCCGATGGCCTAGGCGGTTGCAAAAAAAGAGGAGAAAAATGAGTGGAGGGAGTGGTCGCCGAAGAGATAAGATTAAAAGGAAGATGTGGGTGGACCATAGGGGACACGTGTTGTTCAGGGAAGGTGGAAGATGCATTGGAATGTTTAGCCGGTTGAATGAGAGCTTTTCCCCTCAGAAAAGGCCCAACTTGAGAAAATCATAGTGAATCTAAGAAAAAGAACAAACACACGTAACAATTGCCATGGCCCACCACAGAAAAGAATCATACATGGTAAAAAGACTCACAAAAAGAATTTGCCATGTCCACTACAAAACGAGACGGTGTATTTTACTTGTTGTGATCGTGTAATTTAAGTTGCCATCAAAATAAATTAAGTTGTCATGCCAACAAAGTTTTTAGTTTCTGATGAAAATGATGCAGAATTGAAGATGCTGTCAAAAGCTTCATCGACCTGACTGTAGGCGACATATTTGGCCTGGTTCGATTGCTGATACTATTTGTATTCTGATGAACATTTTGAAATGGATAAACCTTTACCCCTTAAAAAAAGGCCACCCGGCGTGATTCAGCTCTCCCCAGCTTGTGCCGAAGGCAGTTGCACGAACGCGAATGTAAAAATAAATCCCTCGCAAAAAAAAAAAGAATGTAAAAATAAATCGGTCGAAGGGCTCTCAAGTTGCCTGAGAATTGAGAATCAGCAATTCCGGCGGTAGAAATATAAATGTTTGAAATGTTCTCAATTTTGCAGGGGTTTTTCTGTAATAGGAAAAAGATGTTAAGCTTGTAGTCCATTGCAGCTCTTCTTGCCGAGAGAACGAGTCCACCACTGGAATCTCCTAAACAAGGCAGCATGCCTAAACTTGGATAGATCCAAGGCACCCTCCATGCGCGCGGGCGCCATGCCGTGCATGCATGCGGATGCGCCGAGAGACGGAGCGGCACACATAAATAGGCGCGCGCGCCACACCGCATACGCGCGGCGGCGAGCGATCGGCGGGAAGCTGCATGCATCGCCCGTCTCCCTCGCCATCCCCACCGCCTGCCCCCTTCTGCCCCCCTCTCCTTGCCGGGTTGCAGGGCGCGCTCCAGCTCTCCGTGTTCCCCTCGCCGGGAACCTGAGCTGATCATTTCCTTTCCCACCGATCGGTCCGTCTACTAGGAGCCGACGATCGACAACAACCCAATTCGTTCCAGCTCTCGACCGCTCGTTCATCCGGCCCGCCGGGCCATGCGCTGGAGGTAAGCCGGCGCCGACACCGACATCGCCTGCAGTTCTCTCTCCCCCCTCTCTCTTGGACGTCCGGGCCGGGAGGGGAGGAGAGAAGACCAGAAGGACCGACGACACCTCGCGGCGCGAGCACGGAGGAGGAGGAGGAGTGGTGCGGGGAGACGAAGACGATCTGCTGACATGGCGACGGCGATGGACACGACGGTGCCGAGGAGCGGGGTGGGGGAAGGCGGCGGCGGCGGTGGGCTGAAGAAGGGGCCGTGGACGCAGGCGGAGGACCGGGTGCTGCTCGACCACGTGCGGCGGCACGGCGAGGGCAACTGGAACGCGGTGCGCCGGGAGACCGGGCTGCAGCGCTGCGGCAAGAGCTGCCGGCTCCGGTGGGCCAACCACCTCCGCCCCAACCTCCGCAAGGGCCCCTTCTCCCCCGAGGAGGAGCGCCTCATCCTCCGCCTCCACGGCCTCATCGGCAACAAGTGGGCGCGCATCTCAACACACGTACGTGCCAACAAAACCTAACCTCTTCTTCTTCCATGGATCTTGTGTCGCATGAGTATGATCCATCTCTGACAAGTGACAATGTTGCATGCATGCATGGCGGTGTACGTGTGATGGATGAAGCTGCCGGGGAGGACGGACAACGAGGTCAAGAACTTCTGGAACACGCGCCTCAAGCGCCGGCAGCGCGCCGGGCAGTCGCTCTACCCGCCGGACGTCGAGCGGGAGATCGCCCTCATGCGCGCCCAGAACATCAACCCGTTCGCCGACGCGGACGGCAATACTGCGGCGTCGCCGTTCTCGGACCCGTTCGCGCTGCCTCCCAGGCCGCCGTCGTCCACCAAACCGCCCTCTCACTCTCACTCCTCGCCGCTGATCGACCAGCACCACCCGCTCCTCAACCAGATGCAGGGGATGCAGATGCGCCACCACGCCGCACAGCACCAGCACCCGCAGCCGGCGTTCCACCACCACCACCATCACCACCACGGCGGCATGAGGGCTGCGGGGCTCCCGCCGTTGCCGGCCACGGCGGCCAGGCCGCGCGAGCTCCCTTCGAACCAAATCGAGACGGCGAGCTGCAGCGGCGGCGGCGACGGCCTGCTCGAGGCGCTGCTGCTCGGCGTCGACGACCATCAACTCCCCCGTCCCAACCATGGCGTGTGCAGGGCCGGCTCCATGCCCGATCTCATGTACGGCGGCGTCTCGAGCGCAAGCGACAGCGACGATACCTCGCAGTTCCCTCCCGGAGGCCAGGACGCGCACCATGGCGGGAAATGGGACTTCCTCATCGGTCAGTGCATTCATCCATCTCGCTGCTCTTTCTGAAATCTGAATTCGCAAAGACAGGAGTTGATCCACATAATTAATTACCAAAACTGAGGCTAGGTTAATGAATTGGTGCCATTCTTCATTGAAAAAAGTCCATTTTACTACTTGCATAAACTGGGTGGTTCTGTTCACCCCGTGATTTATTTTTTGGTTTCGTTTACCCCAAACAAACTTAAACCGGACAAAACATCCTCCGACCCGGACTGTTTTTTCTCCACCCGATGCTGATGTGGCACTAGTCAACGGTGGTTTTAACCCGGGTGGGGCCCCCTTGTCAGGTTTCTTTCTCTCTCTCTCCAGGTCACAACAGCCCTGAGCCCCCGATCTCCTTTATGCACGGCTGCGTCTGAGCACCACCGCGCCGTTGTGTCACCGTTGAAGCCCTCCACGCCGGCGACATCTCACTCCTAGCGCTGCTCCGCTGTCGGTCGCCTCATCGCTTCTGCTCCGACAAGGAGATCGCCGCCGGCCACCTCCGGGCCTCCTGCAGCACCTCCCTGCCGTCCAGCGACCCCACTAGCGACGCCACCGTCGGCCTCGGCGCTGGCGGCGAGGCAGAGGAGTTTGCACGGCGGCGACTGCATATGAAGAAAAGAAAAGTGAGGAAGAACTCACAATTGTATTATCTTCTGGGTGTACACTTATACACAGATAACACACGCACACGGCTAGACTAACTAACACAGTTATGCAGAGGCTAACCACTCCTAGAAGCTAGCATGCAAATCGTGGGCTGTTGGCGCAGCAGCAGCACACACGTTAGTGCATGCACTCCTACCTGAAAGACCGGTTCCAACATCATGGCCCTCGCCGGGTCTAAAGCCGGGGCCTGACGGGGACAGGTGCTGGGTGACTAATGGCGACGACGAACATGGATCTGTGGCAGGGCGGCGGGATCCAAGTCGAGGACGCTGGAGGCCGACGTTGACGGTGGTCTCAGGTGGCCACGGTGGTTCTCAGCAACGCCGATCTGCAGAACGGAGCGCCGGCCATGGCATTTAGAGCAAGGAGAGAGAGTCGTCGTGGTCATGGTACGCAGCAGCAGCATGACGAGTAGGAGGAGGAGGACGGGGAGCAGGCTGCTGTAGCCTGGAGAAGTGCTCTCATGGCGGCGGCAGCAAAGCGGGGAAGAAGAAGGCGGGAGCTGAGGAGGAGGCTCGCTGGCGGGTGTACCCGGAGAGAGAGAGAGAGACCACCGTTGACTAGTGCCACATCAGCAACGGGTGGAGAAAAACCAGTCCGGAGGATGTTTTGTCCGGTTTAGGTTTGTTTGGGGGTAAAAAAAGGCAAAAATAGATCAGGAGGTAAAATGCACCACCCATTTTATTCAGGGTAGTAAAATGGACTTTTTTCTTCTTCATTTTATTTTTTTGCAAATCAGTGCCGGGTTTGGGACAGAGCATTGCAATTGGCACTGATGAACGCTTGACAGTCTTCCTGACCGGTGGGGCCCATATGACAGCGCCGACGTCGCGAAATAGCCACGTTGTAATGTTTGACTCCTCTGTCTTACCTTAGGCCCCGTGTTCACTATCCCCGACACCGCGGTGCCATCCATGCTCTGCTCCGGCTGGCGGTCACCGTCTCCTCAATGTCGGCCTGCATGGTGCCAAGAGCGGCCGCGCGCGAGTCCACGCCGGAAGGACCGCGCCACTGATGCAACGCAGTCCGGAAGTAGAGCATTTTCGCGCAGCCCGGACGGCGTCGCTGTGTCCTACCCGACGGCGGAGGGCTGCCGGCGCACGGCCCGCTGCCGCTGATAACATAGACAGACAGTGCTGGTGGTGCGGGCGTGACGTGGGCGCGCTCCGCACAGGGGAGCAAGTGCAGTCCCTCACCGTGTGCGTCTGGGCATTGGACGAGGCCGTTCTCGGCCTGATGGAGTCACCGGACCTCACATGCTCGTCTCGGCCTTCTGCTGGAGCAGCGGGTTCGGATAGATGCTGGAGGCGAATCTATATCCTCTCCGCGCCATGCCCTCGCTCGGGCAGGGGCATATAGGACCAGAGTAGAGGGAGAGACGAAGATGGGAGAGAGAGAGAGAGAGAGATGAGTCAACCATGTCCATGTGGATATTTTTCCCATGTCAGCCTGACCAATGGCCCCACAGGTCAATGTGTGACATCCAGAACATAATCGGTGCTGATTTGCAAAAAAGATTGCAAAAGTGATACAGATTCCAGTTGTGATAGTTCCGTGCAATTAACTTCAAAGACAGTAGCATAAATTATTTCCTCAACCAAATTATTACACAGACAATGTTTATTAGTCAGCGAAATTAAGTTACTCCTTTCATTTTTATTTACTCGGTATAACTTTTTTGGTCTCAAGATAAACTTTGTAGCTTTGAACATGTTTATACATCTAGATACATCCATACCTGCGACGAGTAATTCGGAACGGAGGGAGTACACGATACCAAATCAATAGCATCACCATTGAATATATTTCCACATTATAATATACTCCTTGTTATTGTAAATGTTCATATCATTTCTTATAACTTTGATCAATTTTTGTAAAGTTTGACTCCAAACAAAATAATATGCAAATTAAATAAAAACAGGGGTAACATGTTTCGATTTTTGAACCAAACTAGGAACTCTGACTGATCCGATCGGTGACTCACATTTTGTTTCATGTATTGGGAAATTCATTTACCTGATGCAGATGATGTGAAGCCGCCAATGAGGAGGGCGACGAGCGCAGCGGAGAACGAGACCTCCGGTATGTTCGGCGTGGCCCATGGGTCGATATCCGGGGAGTGGTTCGGCACCGGCGTTGGGTCGCCAGGGCCGTCCTCCGTCGTCACCACGGACGATGAGTTCGGCCTCGAGATGCAGCAGCTCATGTCGTCGCTGCCACTGTCGGCCGACGAGCTTAACTGGAACGCTTAATTGGCAAAAGAAAAGGGGGAAATCAAAGACATAGGGCTGGTGTTTCTTTCTGTGGGAGCAGAAGATGCCTTCTTTTTGTATCGAGTGAGTCATATTGTCGGGTCTTGCTAATGATGCTATAAGAAGCGTTTCGCCCCATGATCAGCTTGGGTGTCAAAAACAAACAGAGATGAAATCCCTTGTTCTTAATTAAAGGAGCAAAAATAGTTTCAGTTTTTTAAAGGAACAAAAATACTAATCATGCCAGTCGGTTGCAATCTATGGAGGTAAGTACTCTCCCCTCACTAATCTCATCTCCTGATAAACTGAAACAATTGATTAAACTCACTACATGTAACATTTGGCGCGTTTATCCTTTTGCATCGGCAAGACGCGAAAGCTATATATATATATACAGATCTTTCCAAGGGGATTTAAGAAAATAAACTTTACAGAATTAAATTGATCATTTTGTCTAGTGAAGAATCTAACTTCATGGAATTATTAAACAAAGTATCGCATCAAAGAGACCAAAATAGTCCACCCGCAAACTCCGCGAGTGCACCAAATCTACATTATAGATATTGTAAGGATGTACCAGGTTGTATTTTCTACTCCCTTCGTCTGGAATTACTTGTCATTCAAATGGATGTATCCATGGATAAATCCATTTGGGTGACAAGTAATTCTAGACGGAGGGAGTATATGCTGGGAGCCACATATCTGGTAGAAGCACACCACACGTGCAACTCCAATGTGAAAGTAAGGTGGGCCATAACACAAAGAGCTATAAGCCACCCTTAGCTTTCGTCCGGGTTAATTAGACCCCCCCCCCCCTCGTATTTTGAGTCGCTTGTATATAAAATTAACAAAATATAAATTATATGACAGAAAAAGTATATTGTCCGGTTTGTATTTGAAACAACTTTCTCATTGTATAATTTTTGTGACATATAGTTTACATTTTATTAGTTAAATTTCTGGTCAAACTTTAGCACAAAATAACAGGGGACCTAGTAAACCAGATTGGAGGTAGTAACTTTACACACCGTGGAAGTCAGCATCAAAGTGAAATTTGTTGAGGTCACTAGTAACCATATGTCTGGGCCGTGTGTAGGTGCAACAGTCTGCAGTAATAACTTATATATATATATTTGTCTATTATATTGCTGCGCATCATATGCATTATCGTCATTATTATATCATCTTCATTGCATAATTAAATAATTAATTAGGACATTTTATTTTACCATTTTGTTAAATGATAAATAAGTAAACCCCCTCTGCCTTCTGATGTTCTAGTCCGAGACTCACCCCCAGACCTTGGATACACTCTTCTTGTGATATTAGGGAGCTGCACAAATTCTTTCACAATTTTAGCACAAGACTAGGCATCACTCATAGTGCAAACCTCATTTATGCAATAAATGGGGATATTTTTCAAATAGATATCAAGTGAGCTCTGAATGACTTAAAAATATTTTGTATGGCCTCATTATAGTATAGAGAGACTATGTTTAAAATTACACATCAAACATAGTTTGTTTTATGCCCGGAAGATTAAATGTGAAGATGTCACAAACAGTTAAATAATAAATCAATTTATTAAATACAACAATGAAAACGGTTCGAGATTTGGACGCACGGTTCAAGAGATAAAATAATTTGAATAAACGGATCTAAGAAAAAAAAGGAAAAACTCTCAGGTTGCGACAAGTGACGCACATGCAGTGCGCCACCTGTCGCAACCTGGGAAGGTGAGAGTGATCTTTGAAATGAGTACTCATCAATTATTGATTTCGGCTTCTTTGTTGGCATGGCCCGTACAGATCCGAGCAACCTATTGTTGCGAGCACTGTTTTGCAGCTTCCGCTCGCTCCTATAGATGAGCCTCAGCCCAGTAGATCTGTTATAGTTATTATTTGCTCAGTGCACCGGGTGACCAGCCCATTGCACTGTTACGTCCCATTAGTTCTATTATTAATTCTCTACAGTTTATTAATTTCAACAAAGTTGTATATAACTTGCTTCAACCGTGTAAAGTCCACCATTACTCTGATCACAAAGAGTTATAGGGTACCAGATTTGAGATACACGGCTGTGAAGGCGGTAATTTGGGGATTGTCCAGTCACTGTCCGCGGATGTAGATGCTCTTACGTGATGCATATGGATAGACTCAAGCCTATGGTATAGTAGGGGGGATTGGACCTTGCTGCCGGTGAATCAGGGTTGCCCATGTAGATCCACCAACTACTAGAATAATCGTAATATTGGTATAGTTCTTGCCAACCTATTTGTCAATCGTCGGCAATTTATTTTGATACTAAAAATGACGACCTCACTAAGAGCACTAACCTTTTAGTGGCGATGCGTCCATCATATGTGGCATGTTTATTCTCTACTTGGGTCCCCTAATAGAGGCAACTCCAGTTGATCAACAGAAATCTCTTCCCCGCAATTATAGCAATAGCAAACTACATCACCAGGACGTATTCCAGTAAAACCACACCATTTTGATACTTCAGTGGTATGCAAAAGTTCATACATGTTATACCATCACAAGGACCAGGTAGTCTGTAGTAGTGTTGACAACAAGAAAATTGTAGTAATGCTTTGGTACTATGTTCGTTACTTACCATAAAAGAAGAGGACCGCTAATAGGAGCATATACACACCTACTACTGCCACCTTTTGTGCCATGGTGAATACTGGATTGGTAACTTGAGATGTAGAAGACAAGAGTTGGTAGACATGTGTATTTATATTGTTAGGCTTGAATATGATAAATTATAATCTAGTAACTTCATTTTGTCATTTTGGAAACCATTAAATGATAATCAAATATTTGATAAGGTGGATATGATACCATTTGAATTGACATTTATGGGGTTCTTTTGATTAGGCATTTACTACTTGCCTTTCATATAATCTACCTCCGTTCCTAAATATAAGTCTTTTTACAAATTCTGATATGGACTACATATGGAGTAAAATGAGTGAATCTACACTCTAAAATATGTCTATATATATCTATATGTAGTCTCTACTGAAATATCTAAAAATAATTATATTTAGGAAAAAAAAAGGGAGGCGTTTCCTATTTGGGGCTTCAGGCGCCCATTACAGTTGATTTTGCATTTTTTTTAGGTGGTAAACCGCACTTTATTGATGAGTCTCAAGGTTTATAGAAATGATAAGGGGATCATGAGGAAGCCCAACCACAAATGGCGACCAGAATCTAAACTAGAAGAAAGTTTAGCTAAATTATGAGCATCCCAATTCGACGAACGACCTTCAAAAAGAAATCGCAGCTAGTGAAATCTCCTGACCGGGCTACAATCTCTTTGATTCTTCTTGAGTGCCTGACTTCAGTGCCCATTCTAATATCTGAAATCACCGTCTTGCAGTCGCTTCCGATAATGATCTTACCCACCGCCAGACCAAGCGCGAGAGATAGAGCTTCCCGGCACGCAAGGGCTTCGAGTCTAGCTGGGTCCACTATGCTGGAGAAGACCATGGCAGAAGAGCCCGGGAACATATGCCGTTATGGTCTCTACACACTGTTGCTGCAGCTCCCCTATCTCCACTTCTTATTAAACCTCCGTCAACATGAATCTTCGCTATGCCGGGTCCCGGAGGCCTCCACTGTTGGCGTTGCTGTGCGATTCTGTGATTCCCGCTCGCAGCTCTCCCCTGCGTTCTCTCTGGCCCTTTTAGAGAATCAAGTTCAACAATGAATCTTACCATAAATGAATGTGTGGCATGTGGGTTCTGGAGCTTTCCCTCATGCCGTCCAAATTACCCACAGTGTAACTACAGTCGATTTTGCTAACGGGTGCCTGAAGCGCCTCCGCGCTGGGCTGGCCCATCTAGGATTTTCTTTTCATCTTCTTTTTAAATGCACTAAAAAACTGCAGTGTTGCAAATCGAACCTGAGACCTCCGGCTTTCAAGTAGGATGTGCTACTCATCTCGCCACCAATCCTCATTTGAATACTAACATCCTTCAGCAGTAGCGATTTGGTGCCCAGGCTCATCTACACCCGCAATGAAGAAAAAGTAAAAAAAAAAGTAAAAAAAAAATCCAAAAAGAAATTGTGGTAGATAATTTGGTGCGTGAGGTACGCTCCAAATTTCTGCTCATTTGGACATTTGAGTAGATCTCAGTACAAAAGACAAATTTGGGGTCTATAAAAAAGCTTACCGTTCATGTACTGTTTTGACCTGATTTATCTTTTTTGCTGAGAGCTACTCATATGTCCTTATAATCTGAAATTTGGAGCGCATATCACACACCAAATTATCTACCATGCAAGAAAAATGGATTTCTTTGATTTTTAGTTTTATTTTTTGTGATTTTTTAACCGGGTGAAGATGAGCCTGGGCTCATAAATAGATATTTGCATCCTTTTCTTCTTTCTAGTTTTCTTTATTCTTTTTATTTTTCCCTTTTGCTTTTTTTTCTTTCTTCTTGTTCGTGGTTCAATCAACTGTTCTTAAATTCATGAATACTTCTTCAAAATCGACATCTTTTTCTCTTGATGATATTTTTTCAAGATTAATGAACTTTTCTTAAAATTAATTGAACTTGTTAAAATTTGATGAATATTTTTTTAAATTCGATGAACTTTTATAAAATTTTGATGAACTTTTTTCAAATTTGATGAACTTTTCTTCAAATTCGATGAACCTTTTTCAAATGTGATAAAAAAATTCAAACTCGATGAATGTTTTTCAATTTGATGAACTTTTCCCAAAATTGATGAACTCTTTTTAGAATTGATGAACTTTTTTTCATAAGCGTTGACCTTTTTTCAAAATCGATTAAACTTTTTTAAGTTTCAGAACTTTTATAAAAACGATGAACTTTTTATAAACTTTTTCAAATTCACGATCTTTTTCAAATAATTCAAAAATCTAAGTGATACTATGATAGACGGTATTGTGCATTAAATAATGCGACCATGCCTGTCTTCAGTTCGCGCCATTATTAATTGCATGTGTCCAACGGTTCTACTGGT